GTAGGTGAAATAATTTGAAGGTGTGGTCGTTGAAGCCAGTTCAGGAAAATACACAGGTAAAGATTGGATGCCACTAACTTCTTTGAGTCTCATTTCTTCTGAAAACTATAGGTAGTAAGAATTGTTTCTGGGAATATCAGGAAGACCTGTGAATTAAGAAATAAGCTATACCCCAGCCTACTGGCCTCTGTAGATACCTAAAATGAGGGTAACTCTTAAAGAAAAAGCTATGGCAGCAACTAAGTCTGTGAAAGGAGTTCTGTCCCCTCCTCCATCTGTTCTTGTCATCTTACACCAAGTACAGATCAACGAAAGCAAACCACACAAAGATAAGGTAGATTTAAATCTTTTTTTTTAAGAAGATAAGGATACCACTCTGGCTTAACAAAGACTGAAGTATACTTTGAAGAGATTTTCTGTCTCAGCCACCACTAACAAAGCTAAAACTTTCTTTCCTTCATCAGTGACTCACCCCCAGACTTCTTGGCAGTCTGTTTGAAGGCAAGGGGAACTGAGAAGGGGAACATGGTTATGGGCTTGCTGTGAACACATGAAGGATACCTCCTAGATCTGTATTTTTCTATAACTTCTTTCTTAACTTATTCTTTAGGAGTAAAATGAAAATACTGGCTATAAACATTTTGGCCCTGTTGAGAATTATTTTATTGTTATCATAAGATTTTCAACTGTTTTATTACTTTATAGAAAATGAAATTTTTGAGTTCACAATGGAAAAGATCAAGTGAGTTCTTTTTGCTGTCTTTATAATAAACATGGTTGTTGAAAATAGCAAAGTATTTATTTGTTTTTCTATTAGTCCCCCATAAGTGAAATAATGTGTGAGTTGTGTTTGATAAAAGGACTATGTTTACCCAATACTTTCAAGCTTGATTTTGTCAAGCTGTCAATTGAAAAAAAATAAAAAAAATAAACATATCTGACAGCCTCCTATCGGTAAACAAAGAAGAAAGGCCAGGATGCATCTGTCATCTCAGTGAGGTACAGTGCTTATGATAAGGTTTTGGTGACTTCCCAACTTTGTCATCCTTGAGACTCCATTTCTACTGGGAAATCCTGGGAAGCAAAAGCATGCTTCCAGTGATTATCCAGGCAGTATAGGTGCAGTTGTCACCAGACCATGCCCAGCTTGAGCAGCATGCTCTGTGGTGGATGAAATGGCAGCTTGATCTTCAAAAATTGGGCTCTGTAAGTGAGAAAAGAGTTGCATGTTTGTCATGGCGTATCCCTTTGACGATTACATTGGATAATTTCACCACCATCACCTTTCTGTTCTGAAGTAAAATGCAAACAGAGCAAACAATGGCTTCTGACTTTGTCTGTCTTGATTTAGAGAATTAACTCAGGGTTGACTTCATCCTGCTACTTTAGATTGACTGAAATGGCCTTTATTAACCACATCTCCTATTAATAGTTTTACTGTACTAGAGAAGGTAAATCAATTTACAATTTAATGGCTTCTCATGCCAAGGGCATTATTGATTCTGTCTCTAATGATTTTGAAATGATATGCTGTTATGCAAATCTATTGTAGGTGTGTCTTTATAAAGTCATTTATGGATATTTTTCTTCTTTGTCATGTTTCTTTTTTTTCATATCACAATTACCAAATGGTGAAATATTTTCAAAAGAACCACATCTGATCATGGTAAATATTGATGCTCCAATGACATGTTGCAAGTGCTTCTTTTAACTATAAACAAGCTTCATGGGCTACTGTAACTATTTTCTTGGGGTCTAGAAAGTAAAGCTATTACAATGGGTTCTAGATTCATTTCTGTTGCTGTGATAAAGTATACTAACTAAAAGTAACATAAGAAAGGAAGGGTTTGCTTTGCCTTAGAATTCCAAGCTCTACCCCACTGTTGCAGGAAAGTTGAGGCAGGAAGCTAAGCAGCTAATCCGATCACACCTACAATCCATAACAGGAAGAAATGTACCCACACTACCTGCTTCCCAGCTTCCAGCTAGCTTTCACTTCTGTTGAATAATTCAGTACCCAACCCATGGCACTGTACCATCCAAGTCAAAGATGGGTTTTTCCACTTCAATTATCAATCAAGAAAATTTGCCACAGATATGCACACAGTCCAACCTGCTGTGGGTGATTCTGCAATTGACACTGTCTTCCCATGTGGTTCTGGACTGTATCAAGTTGACAATTAAGGCTAACTAGCACACAATAAGAAAGAGACAACAATGGCATTGTGCAGTGAAAAGAAAGAATGTGTCAGCAGGCGATTTTTAGTTACTCAATAAAAAAAAAATCAGTAATTTTTCTATACACTGACTCACTCAAAAGACTACTCCAACCATATGAACTAGGCTTTCTTTACTTCTTTAGTTCAACAGAATCCGCAAAGAACTGTGGGCTTGGAATATTGTGTACGTTTATGATAAAAAAGGAAGACCATTGCAACCTGACTTGTCACAGCTATGCAACCACAGTTTAAGAGCACAAGAATATAAAGTAGAAATTAATACCTAAGGAGTATAAGTTTTGTTAAGTACAAAAAATGAAAAGAGACCTTTGGTGAAATTTTGATGGTAAATTTGATCTAATGTAAAATAGCAGCTACTTTCTATTTCAACTAGAACATACATTTCCAAAACATTAGATCACAGGAGTGTCTCTCCATTTCTGGCTGCAGTTCATTCCAGATGTAGTCAAGTTGACAACTAGGAATAGCCGTCACAGGTACTCTTGGGTTCCTTATAGTATTTTGGATTTTTTTCAGATGTAAATTAACAACTATCTCAGGTTAGTCAAGTCATCTTTTTTAACACACAACACACACACACGCACAGAGAGAGAGAGAGAGAGAGAGAGAGAGAGAGAGAGAGAGAGAGCGCAAATTGATAAAATCTAGAAATGTATCCTAACAATTACGCAGCAGCTGTTTGTACATGTAGTTGGACATGTCATACTTTTGATAGTTTTAGAAATTTCTGCACTTAAGGAAATGATTGTTATATTAGTCATGTCTAATTATTCACCTGTGTACTATAGTACTACAGTACTACATAGTAGTCTTTGAGACACACACACACACACAACACACACATACACCCACACAACTGCACTCTTGTGAGCCCTAGCTTCTCATGAGGGAGACACTGGGATACCATGCACATTCTTTAGCTGAGGAAAATAAGGGCAACATGGGGCTCCAAGGCCAATCATTTTATCTCCCTTTTACAATGCTAAGCCTAGATAGGAAGAGGTAAGCATTTGGATGTAGGGCCTGGGAAATTTACAGAATTTCTTCAAACTTCCTTTATGCTATGATAAAATGACAAATAGTTATTAGAAAGCCTCTGTCTAGGTGAAACTTGGGAGATTTGATCAATGAACTAAAAGCAAGATTATAGACCAGTCTATGATATTCTAAAAGACCCAGAAAATTAAATTAAACTTTAATTAAATTAAAGAGTTAATTTAATTAAAAATCTTCATGTCACGAATAAAACTTTCTGTCTATGCAAACCTACTATTTCAAAAATTTTAGTCAGATATTATCTTGGTTGATGTTATTTTTAAAAGTCTTGTTAAATCAGTATTTAGGGATCTCTAAATAGGTTGTAATATGCAACACACTAAAGCTTTATCAGTTAGGAGGTAATATTAGAATGATCTATTTTCAGATCCATCATGAGTTATGTCTGGTATCATTACTGGAATTTGGATTTGCATAATATTTGCATTTGTCTTGTCTGCCTATCAATCATTCACAGCCATAGGACGATAGTGCAAACACTACTGAGGGCTGGATGGCAGGAAGAATTTTCTGTGAACCTTCTTGATGTATTTATGAAGTTGGAAAGTAGTATAACTGCGGTAGCTAATGAGAGTTAGCTTGGCAAGGGATGAAAAAACATGACTTTAGCAGTCGTCCCCTCCTCGGAGACAACCATTCTGAGGACACAGTATCCATCTTTAGGAATGAAAAAAATGACGGAAAAAAAAAAAACTCCTGCTATGGTACAGGTGAAAATCCATGGAACTTAAATAAGTTAGATTCTGAAACACTGAAGAGAGAAAGGGAAGAGACTTTATATTCTCTTCTGTAATGCTTTTATATATACATTGTTTTAATAAAACAATAAAATTTTATGCTCAGGGGCATACTAATACTCAATTAGTTACCCAACACCAAATGCTCAGTCCTGAAAACTCTATGTGAAAATAACATTATACAAACTGAGCAGGTTGTCTTTTTATATTTAGGAATATATAATATATGTTATATATAGTAGCAATTAATGAAAAAAGAGGCTATAAATTTGAAAATAAAGCAATGAAAGATATATGGGAGAGTTTGGAGAAAGGAAAGGGAAGAGGGTAATGAGTTAATTATATTATAAACTCAACAAAAATTTAGATATTATTCTTGGAAATAAAGTAAAACACAGAGAAGGGGAAACTACTACCCCTCACCTAGGATAACATCTCTCAATATTTTATTATGTTTTTATTCCTTGTATTTGTGTGTGTGTGTGTGTGTGTGTGTGTGTGTGTATATACATGTACGGAGGTATGTCTGTCGTAAAGGTCACCTCTGAGTAAAGGTCACAGCTCACTGAAACCAAATCTATCCGTCTACCAGCTGTCTCCATGTATGGAACTCAGGTCATCGGGCTGGGTGTCCAGTGCCTTTACCCACTGACACACCTCACTGGTTCTATTGTATTTTTTTATTCACTTGTTCTAAAGAAATGACTTCCAGGACTCAGTTAAGACAAGAGTTAATTACTTTAATATGCATTTTTTCTTTTCTCATTATAATCTGTTTTTCTGCTTTACTTTCTCGTGATGATGACAAGCTTATTAACTCTGAAAACTGTACTTTGTCCACGTGAATTCTGTGGCCCTGGGCAAGGAACTGTGTTTTTCAGTGACCTCTCTGACCTTGCTTCTTCTGCCTATGTTCCTTTGCTTGCGTTTTCCCCTGTTCGTCAATTTCTATTCTTCTCTGTTTCAGCAAAACAATATCAGTCAAGGTAATCGATGACGAGGAGTATGAGAAAAACAAGACCTTCTTCATTGAGCTTGGAGAACCCCGTCTGGTGGAGATGAGTGAGAAGAAAGGTGGGGGAGCTGCTCCAGGGCTGAGCCCGACAGCTTCCGCTCCAGGGCTGAGCCCAACAGCTTCTGCTGGCCTGTGCCTCCCTGGATGCCCGCATCTTCAGAACATGACTTACAATGCACACATGCCTCCACTATGTAACAGGGCATAGCTCTCACAATGGCAGCAGTGGACCAGAACTGCAGCTACACCAGCCAGTTATGGACACTGCATCCCATGAAGGTCTGAAGGTTCATTTTGGACACAATCATTCAAGCTTCCATAGCTGGGGAATTGGGCGGAAGTATTATGCAATGTCCAAATTCTAGACCAGCTTTTGTACTTGTGGGAGAAGCAGAAGGATTTATGTAAGGATCCACAGACACAGAAACCTCAGTAGGGACCAGTGGAGAGCACCCAAGATGCCCTTTTACATTTGCCCGGAAGGTCATGTGCTGCCAGTTTTCCCTCTGTAACATCACAATAACATCCAGCTTGGTGGACATCTAGAGCATGAGCGTGTGACTCCAACCATTTGTTTTGCCTTTGTCTTGTGTCCCCACAGGAAGATCATTACCATTAGAATATTTGACCGTGAGGAATATGAGAAAGAGTGCAGTTTCTCCCTGGTGCTTGAGGAACCAAAATGGATAAGAAGAGGAATGAAAGGTGTGAGAGTATACAAACACAAATCAGCGAGAAATTGTACTCTTCTCCCTCTCTGTGTCTCCCTACTCTCACACTTAACTCTCTCCTCTTCCCTGGCCTTTGACGCTCAGCGGGGTCATTTCCCTTCCCTCATGAGTGCACCAAGCGATGCCCATTTCCCTTAGGAAGGGCTGACTAACCTTGTTTGCAACTAGATTTACTAAATATTAACAAATACCAGAAGAGTCTCTGTGATTGAGACAGGGCTAGCTAGAAAAACGAGCTCTGCTTTTCACTACTTCAGACCCACTTACAGATGTGGCTGTGAAGGTTCACTTACCCTTAAAACGCTAGTGGTAAAACCTATTGCATCTTCTCAATGGAAGTTGAAAGAAAAGAAAAATGACCTACAAGGTCATGGTAGACCATGAGTCCATGGATCTAATGGCAATATATAAAAAGTTACAGAGAGCTCAGTAAGTAGGCTTCTGTGGAGAATCTGGTTTGAGGAGGGTTTTGGTTTGCTTTGCTTTGCTTTTTGTTTTTGAGACAGGGTCTCTTGTAGCTGAGCCTGGCTTCCAACTTGCTACGTAGCTGAGGATGATCTAGAACTCCCAATCCTCCTGCCTCTACCCCCAAAGTTCTGAAAGGTGTGTGCCAATCTGTCTGGCCATAGCTTTTTAAAAAGCAATTAATAAGAGCAAGAAGCCTTAAGAGTCGCACTGTCAATAAGCTAATGTACTCAGTTTGATAGTTTTCCATATCATCAAATATGTCATTTAGAAGAAGCCTCAAAGCTAGACATGATGCCATTCCCCTGTGATTCGAGCACCTGGAAAGTCAAAGCAGAAATACTGAAAGTTCAAGGGCAGCCTCAGCGTACAAGACCCTATCTCATTAAAAAAAAAAACAAAAAATTAAAGAGCCTCTAACATATAAGATACCATACATATGAAACCACAGTCGTATGTATGGGCTCAGTTTTGCGTAGCTCTAGGGTGTGATCCTTGTAAATATTTAACCCTAACTTATACTAATCTTACCTGTGCACCAAAATCTTGTAATACTTATAGAATTAATATAATTTTAGTATAGATAGTAACAAGAAGACTTGAATAGTAATATCCTTATAAATAAATTACTTTAAACACTTGTGTTAATTCTTTGAGAATTTCATGATTACATTTAGTTGGTTCTCATAATTTTAGAAAATATTTGCAAAGAGAAGCCTCCTCTACTCTTCCCTAATTTAAAATATGTTCTATTTAATAAGGAAGGAGGAGGATTTCATTTAAATTTTACATGTAGGGCAAAAAAATGTAATGTATATGACCAATTCCTATGTAAACTCAGCATTTGAGGAAACATGATCTCACATTCTGAAAACTCACTGACCTCTGGGGGAAAACATTGTCTTTCCTAATGTCGCTAACTTAAGTACAAAATGGCATCAGGTGTGACGGAGGAAGGGACATGTGGAGCTCATCTTGATTCAGCTCCTTCAGTAAGTCCCATCATCAGTAAACAGAGAAGAGACATCAGAAAATATGTCTTACAAAGATGGGATCACAGATGCCTCATTAGCATCCAGGAGAAGAACTTGGATCTGAATGTGTTCCTCCAAAGAGCTGTCTTTTTAATCTCGAGAACTATCTTGGATACAGCTCTGTCGGTTGTCATTTTAGTGAACTATGCCCTCATGTGCAAGCAAATTAAAGTGCTTTGGCGGCATTATCCTGGTTTTTGTACCAGCTAAGTGAATTCTTCTCACGATAAATGACTTGTTTTCCTAGGTTCCCTCTGAGGACACTACCACTCCAGGGAATACTGGGCTAAAAACAAGTGATTGGAATATTCCTGCAGACAACCTGAGAGGGCTTTAATTTGACCAGCTTAGCCAGGTTCACTTTTATTAAAAATAAAGTGCTATGGTCCCAATTGTATTGAAAGAATATAATCTAAAAAGATACATTATAGATTGGCCCATATTCCAAACCTGTCCATTTCTATGTAGCTACTTATTAATAAGCTAGCTTCCAGTTAGCTCATTAATGCATAACAGTTACTGATAAAGGAATGCAAATAAATGTCAAGCTGGGGGCTCTTAGGGTTAGAGAAATTAAAACACATAAGCAATTTTGGAGGAGTCAAAATATTTTCCAACGCAGAGAGAGCTTTACCTGGGTCAAATATGTCCTTCTAGGAGAGCAGACTAAGGCATTTTCCCAGGGACCTTTACCTGTTTTCATGGAAGGTAGCTGAGGACTTTAGTCATTAAACACCTCCAAACATTAGCTCTCCGACACTGTTAACTGAAGAAGCCCATCCCCAAACTGAGTTAAAGGTTAGCATCTCCAACATTCCCAGTATATTTTGTCTGAAGTATATGTCAACAACTGTGGGAGAAATACCTTATGAGATACATAGAGAGAACATCCAAGGTGATTTGTTTTTTCAGTCAGACACAAATATTCCTGTTGTGGTCATTTATTTGGAAATGTTCCCAACAATGCCACCCTTGAGATGCACCAATTTTTATGAGCAATGATTTTCCCCACTCTAGTCAGAACTGCCTGGATTTCTTTCTGCTAATATTCCTCTCTCATCTCATCTGGTTTCTTATTCTGTATTTGTCTCTGTCTGTTTCCTTCACAGCCCTGTTGTTGAATGAGCTTGGTAAGCATCCCATTTCCTGCATTTCCTTTCCATTTTCTTTTAGGCTATTTCCCATTTCTATCAGACAATACTGTAACTGTGGATTTTTATCTCTAACTATGGATTGGCCAGATTTTCATTTAAGACTATCGCCCTTGTTTTAGTTGAGGCCAGATCATTGTTATACCACTGGATCAGTGATTCCTTGGGTACCTACAAGAACTGATTGTGCATTAAACTGCATAGTCTTAAAAGAATGTATTCTGTTGTGACTGGCCCTTTTCATAATATTCTTCATTATAAGTTTGGCAAGTTTTCGGTGGGTTGTCAAATGTCTTGTGTCACTAATACTTGTTACCTGTAACGTAAATTAAATTATGACATTTCTCCCCTTTTTCTTTTTTTAGGTGGCTTCACATTAACAGGTATGAACTTTTCAATTATATAATTATACTGTTACTGTCACCATCAATATATTACCCATTTTAAAAATCTCTTCTTGCTTTATTTGTTTTTAATTAAGGAAAAGAGATGTATGGTAAGATAACTTCTTTTTTAAAAAAATTAAAAAATCCTGTTTTGGCTGAAATAATCCAAATCCAAAACCAAATGTAACCTGAATTCATATTTAACTGTGTCCCATTAACCGTTTTTACAAGTTAACAACAGCCTGTGTGTGTTGTATCTATCTATAACAAAACTCACAGGAAGAACCTCTAACCGTTTGTATTTTAACACTAGCTAAGCTTCAGGTGACCACATAGCACTGAGAATATGCAGTGTACTCTGGAAGATACTGTACAGTGCTCCAGAGTAAGAAAGACAAGATTACTGGCCTAAGACAGTGGCTCTAACAACCATTCAAACTTCACAGCCTAGGATCACTGAGACCCTAAAAGTACATAATGCCACATTTGAAGAGGACAGAACAGCCATTCCCCTTTGTCTCATGACAGCAATTCTAGCCCCTCTTGGAACATTTTATTTTAGTACTAATAACATGGAATCAAGAACTATTTCTGCTACTTGGAGTGCAGTACAACGTCCTGCAGAAACATTCAAGATCCCAGTGAGACAGCTTGAAACCTTTAAATGTACCATCTTCTGACCTTGCATATCTTCTCACCTTTCAGAACCATTTCTGCTGCTTTAGAGAGGACAATGAATAACCAGCTCTAACTTTCTGCAGCTACAGGTTGAAAATGCATCTAGTGAACCACTTCCTATATGCCCTTTTTCACTATGGTAGGCAAGTAAAAGGAATTCCAATGCATCATGCAAATATAAAAAAAATCTTAAAGCAGAGAGCTGGAAAAAACTATTTAGAAGGAAATATTACCAATGTTTCTAATAATGAAAACTACAGTAAGCATTGGGGTAGATACCAGCCACTGTATCAACTCATGTACAATGAGTGCTGAAGTGATTCTTCCCAGTATGGAACTTTGTAATGGCAGTTCTATGTGGATGGCTACTCCCAACTCATCTCTAGTCACAGCAATGAATGACATCATGACTTGTAGATTCTCAGAGACACAGAAATTATAATTAATTAATTAATTAAGTGTTAAACACAGTAGACTTCTTACACTGATTCCCTGAAACTGAATCATCCAAGCCTCTCTGAAGTCAGAAAAATCTGCCCTTGAAGCTTGTACATGCATCTAAGTACAGGAATACACACACACAGACACATACACACACACACGTATATATATATATATATATATATATATATATATATATGTATGTATGTATCCCAGTTGCAACATGTCAAATCACTGATGTTATCTCGGAAATATTCTGAATTTGTCAGGATTATCATCGGCTCCTCTTTGAAGATGGTGGAAACTTGGCATTCTGACCCTCATGATTTTGTGAATTATCTTGCTAAAGTCAATAGTTGTCTCTAAAAAGAGCATGCTGTATAGCTATCCCTTACATCCAATGCAGCCAAATGAGACTTTAACTACATACTTCCAGAGTCTAGAGTACCTTATTTAGAATGCATATATGTCTTTGGCTATCTTGCATTATGTGACGATTCCATTTCTAGGACTTTCTTTCTCTGTCATTTGACCCATCTTCCCAGTTAATAGAATACTCATTTTTCTTTTCTTACAACTTCCTTCCATAAAGCTTCCCATATACCTCATATCAGCATTTCCTGCCTTGACCATATCCTGCATCCAACGTGACACGATCACTTTCTCAAAAAGCTTCTCCCATATGAGTAGTTCACTGGTTCCTCCCTATGGCTGCAATTTTAGCCAAAATTGAAGTCCCTCTATTGTTGCCATCTTCCAATATAGAAGTCAATGCAGTTAGAATGAGAGACTATTCCAGAACTTACTAGAAATTTCTATACGGCCCTAATTGTTACTTATCTGGATACTAACTTCAAAACCTCCTCCCTAATCAAACCAGAAATCCTAAGGTCCAGTTGCTATGATGCCTCTAAGAAACTTCTAACACTTAGGTCTGCACAGTGAGCAGGAGCAGTAAAGCCTAAAGATTTTTCTTTGAAGTCACACTGAAGCTTTGAAGTCAGGACTTTGAGGTGCAGTGAAGAAGAGGAGAATCAATGTAGCCCTCTGGGCTTGGCCTGCAGCTTTTACATGGACTTGCACGAATCAGTATGTGTACTGAATTTGGAATCAGCATATATGGAAACTAAAAAGTCCATTTTGTCTGTTGCCTCACACGCATACTTTAGAGATCTCATTAGCAGTAGACATTAAGTCTTGGAAGTGCTTTTGAAGTTCGCAAGTCTTCAGTGTTGCCCTAGCCCTGTCTCACTGAAAGGCCTGTGTTTAAATCTATGCTCCCATTTCCCTTTGACCGTCTGGTTTCATGATTACATTATAACTCATTAGCATTTATAATGAACATTATTTTATCGCCATGCTAATGGATTTTATAGTCCACACTTACAGGGAGGGAAAAATGGAGCAAAACGATTAATCTACCCAAACCACTCATCTAAGATTTCGGCAGCCACCTTTCTGACTCTGAGTAAAAGGCCCTTTGCTGGTTACCTTAACACTAGCCTTGTCATTTGGCTGGTGCAAGCCATCTTCTCCCTTCATCTTTTCATTCTACATCAGACCTTTTCCAATCTAAAGTACAACTATATCTTATAAAAAGTCAAAGAAAATATACGGGAAAATTAAATTTCATGGAAAGAGATAGTTTTATATAAAATTCTGTATCCTGGCTAAATCTGGAGAGCATTCTTTTATTCTCCTAAATGTTTGATTCCCCTGAAACTTCTAAGACTTGCAGCTGTAGTTTTCCCCTTAAATTATATGGCATTCACATACTTCTTTAATGTAATAATATAATGATAATTTTCACAATCATTTTCGTGGTCCGGTAATAGACATGTGCATGTTTATTTAAAGGAGCCAACACCTGATAACCCTAACACTGGAAAGCACTACCATTGCTTCAATATATGGGTTAGAGAAACAGAGCCCCTCCATGGAAATTTGCCTCATTTTATAACCAAGAAAATTACATCTCCAAGAGGTGAAATTTCTTGCCTTCATTAAATAGAAAACAAATTGCAGAGCTGGCCCCAAGTCTCAAGTCTAATGATTTTCAGTTTAATTCTCAGTAAGTATTTATAGGAAAAAACAAACAATCAAACAAACAAAGCAGCAGGTGGACCTGACAACCAATAGAATGAGGAGTCCAATGAAATTCACAGACCATGGTTAATGAAAACAGTTGAGTGATGATGACACGTCCTTATGTTCCATGGAAAGGATATTCCTCGACCTTCAAAGAAACCTGCATTTTATATATAGGGAAACAGAAAAGATAGGCTACTCTGGGCTCTATAGATGACACTGAAAGACTTCAAAAATGTCATTACCCCAAGTGCTTCCTGATGTTTTATGATGCCTCTGGAATCAGTAATTGAAGGACCTAGCCCATTCATGTCAATCATTTGCTGGACTGATTCTGCCTCTCACCACAAGTAAAGGGGATCATTATCGTGTCCATCAAACTTAATCAGGCACTATTTGGTTTGGCTTAAGGAACATTTACGCCTGTTTGTGGGCAGTAATCCCAACCTCATTGTGGGTAGACCATCAGAACCCCTCCTTGTGGCCTACAGAGGGTGACCTACAACCACTCATACTAACTTACATGGCTTGCAGTGTGTGCATCTGGGTGTTGTTTTTACCTTACTAATTTCAAAGGGCACTGATAGTGAATCCTGCTGACTGTCTGCCTGTCCTTTTGCTAGGCCAACCTATCTTCAGGAAGGTTCATGCTAGAGATCATCCGATTCCCTCCACTGTAATCAGCATCTCAGGTACTCATTTCTCTGTGGCCCTTGAAAACCAGAGTTTTTAGGTATCCTTTGGGTCTTCAGATGTTATTGCCTGGGCCTTCTAACATATTTCTGATTAATGAGTGGCTTCTCTGACACATGGGATGCCATAAATGTTCAAAAATGGAAGGCCTTATGGAGGGACTGTGTGGATGTACAGAGAGATTGATCCAATTCTCTCTCTCAGATTTTAATATGTTACAGATTTCTCATAAACATCTTTTATGTGTAAATCTTATATCTAAGTATAATGAATATTCTTAAAAACAAGAACAAAAACAAAACAGGTTGTTTTTTCCCACCAGAATGGCCTCTCCTGATATGCAAGAAAACAAAAAAACGTTGCCAGGGAAACCCAAGGGTCACACAACACTTCCAGTTCTACTGAGGGTTTACAGCTTCCAACTCAGCCCCTAGCACTGAGTCTGTAGCTGAACACATGGGTACTGCCTCCTTCAGTCACTGCTGCCCTAACTGACCTTGGTGGTAGACAACATCTCCTGACCCTATGGGTCCTGCTCCAACCTCCAAACTATAGGGTCTTGCTCCAACTACAGATTTTTTTCTCAGAATATTCAAGAGACTGAAACTATCAGTCTTCCTGGACTCTAATCAGAGAGGCCAGCTAGAACTGAACTACTGTCACATGATCTTTGTCTTCAGGCCTGTCTGTACAGTTCTGAACAAAGGGTCAAAATAAGCCTAAGATTTTCCCACCATTGCCCTTTCCCCATATTCTAAGTCTTATGTTGTTTATTGGGATTAAAAAACAATCATCTATGACATTAGCTCCATGAGAATGTTTCCCAGTATTGAAATAGCCGTGTGGGTGACACTATCCTTTGAAAGGAATAGTCCACTCTTACCCTTCATTGCCCCGATGGTGCTTCAAGATCCAGCCTGAACTAGGAAGTATGTGAAGCAACTTTACATAATCCATCTTTCCAGAACTCATTTACCTAAAGCTAATTATTTTACTCTTTTTTTTTATAAAAATCAATCACTGTAAAGCAGTGGTTCTCAACACGTGATGCACAACCCTTTGTGGGAGTCACATGTCAGATATTCATCACGTAAGATATTTACATTAGGAGTTCATAATGGCAGCAAAATTACAGTTATGAAGTATCAATGAAATAGTTGTGTGGTTGGGGGGGTCACCATAACATGATGAACTGTATTAAAGGGTCACAGCATTAGAAAGGTTGAGAACCACTGCAAAGACCCTACTCTGGGATTTAATCCCAGAACTTCTCTGTGTCCTCTCAACACTGGCTTGCAGTCACGGTAGCTGGTAATGCACAGGATCTCTAAGTTGTTTTGGTTGGTCAAGATCTGGTTGGTGACATTATATATTTTATATACAACATCACAATTAAATTGGTAAGCTTTACAAGTGTGCATATGTACATAAAAAGAGATTCAGAGAGAACCAGAGTTGCCCACAGAGAATATTGATTTGCCTTAAGAAATAGAATCAAAAATTCATTGTCTTGTCACTCTGCATACTTAAGGAAATGAAGTGGCATTAGCTACAATTAAAAAAAAATCTGCTTTTGGTCCATTGTTAAATGAGAAAAAGAAACAAATATAGTGATTTGTTACTATTAAATACTGTTAAACCATTTTCCTATTTAATAAAAAATATTCCTGAGAACACTAAGGAAAAAATGAAATGACTCAACACTCTTCTTTACCACCATGAAAACCACATCGTAATGGCTACTGTATCAGTATTATTGTAGATCAGCCATAAGATTTATTTATCTGTCAGCTCTAGTACACATAACTGTAACTATCTCTTAGATACATATACTACTCATTAAATGACCTTTCTATGATGCTGTGCCCATGCCTGATCTATAACCACTCCCCTCTACACCTCGTGGTGATCTTTACCATCATACTGACCTGGCCAGCTCTCTACATGCTTTAAAGAGAGTTTTAAATTCCTCCTTTGTCCTGAAGCTTTCCTTGCCTCCCATAGGCAAGAAGAAGGTCTTCCCACGCAGATCCTTCAATCACTCCTCACTAATGCTAGTTTTTGTTTCTCATTCATGTGCCTTCATCCCCACTGTACCAAAAGTTCCTGGAAGACAGCTGGGGGAAAAGGAGGACTATTCCTCTCCTAGTATATGTTCAGAGGACAATGATGAACAATGGATGGCCCCTTTTATTTTTAAAAATGAGCAAATGAAAAATATTGCTAACAGTAGCTTGGAGAATCTCACAACAGCTACTTATTGAGTAATATTTTGGCATTCCATACATTGTACTAGATAGTTGTAAGGACAGTCCAAAGAGTGCTGAGTCATATTCCAGCTCTATAAATCTATAGACTTAAGTATTTGTATGTAAAGATGCTTTAAAATAATAGCTAAACTAGTTGCCTATTGGTATACTACTCCATGGAAGGGCCTTAAATATAAGTAAGTGGAGTTGAAGGAGCATTTCTTGTTGATTGCATGAGGCATAAGCCCGTGATTTGGAGTAAGAGTGTAGCAAGAGGTAGAAAAAAGGTTCCTAGACTTGTTTTATGTTGATATCAAACTTGTTAATATGAGATATCCACATTTGAGCTTTCTTGTTAAGATTTTTATTAAGGTTGAGTACTAACAAGTTGGTAATTTGTATACTGTAATTTTTTTTAAATTGGCTTGCCTTAAGTAAAACAAAGAAAACTAGCGGGATGTTGCCTTAAGTAGAAAATAAGTTAAGGACTTCATTTTTCAATGAAAAGACTATCATTAAATTCTGGCTAATCAAACACTCTATGCCTGTATACTACTTTCTGTTTCCTAAATGAAGGAAAGGCAGACATCAGGGAGCAGGTAGAGATCCAGGTGCACCAACCTTTGCATTTGACACTGACCAGAAAGCCCAGAGGATTTGGGGGGGCAGTGCCCCTTTTCACTCGTAGGATGATTCAGTTTCATTTCCGGCCATGTCCGTTTATTTTACATCATGCCCTGAATCAGTTTTCCTCTACAAGTGGCCTCCCTCAACAATCGAGGACAGCACATTTCCTCCCTAACTGCTGTATGTTTTCTACCTATGTGACACCGAGTACCATTCAAAACAGCTTAATGCTCGTAAGAGTCACAGAAAGCATGGCCACAATAAATAGTCTCCCACACAGAGCTTTGCATTTCAAATAGGCATCTAAATAGCAATATTGTTTTAGGGGAAAGACATTATTATTCAGCGTAAGTCAGAGATTTGGACAAAGACACAAAATCAACCTGAACTACCAGGGACATGATCATTGCTTCAAATATCAGAAAGCATTGAGAACCAAGCTGTAATTGATTTGAACACAAGGTAAATGGACTTCATGAGCCCTGCCTTGAGTAGTTACATGTTTCCTTGAGCTGACTAGTTATATGAACCTAACCAGAACCCTTGGGTTATAACTTGTCGATTGATTTATAAAATACCTTACCACTTTTACAGTTAAAGTCAATCTCCTTTTCTCTCTGCTTTGCTTTTGCTCATGTTCAACAGCTTCTCAATAGGTGAAATAGCCCATTTTCATTTCCCTTTGATTTGGTGGGATGACAGACCACTGGAGATTTAAAATACATTATTTTATAACGCATTTATTGAACGTGTACTGAAGAATGCACCAGTAACTGTATTCTGCCTTTGCCTTCATCACTTCTAACATATGAAATCTAGGGTCCTGGCTATGCTCCCAGTACACCTATCCCCAACCCGTCCTTGCAGTAGACTGCTAGCTATAATCCATCCCTTGAAACAGTTGCTAGATGAATATATGGAGCCACTTATAGCAGGGTCCCAGAGCAGAGGGGAAGATATGTGTCTTTTCAGAAAACAGAAGGGAGGAACCCTTGCTAAATTTGATGTCTAAATGCAAAAGGCAGATCAGGGAGCCTAAACAAGCAGCCCTTCCCCTCTGGATGATTCCCCAGACAGCAGACTTTATTTGCAGGCAATTGACCAGGTATCCTGGAGCTGATGGACTCAGAGTGAAGGTTTTTCCATAGCAACCATACTGCTTCCCTGATATGTGTGCTTCATTTGACTCTGAGAGGAAGCAGCCAATCATTTTCCAGCATCCTGGATCTGAAGAACAAGTGTGCTTGCAGGACAAGTGTCTGCCCTCCACATAGGCTTGGCCTTTTCAGTTTGGGATTTATCCCAATGACCTCTGTCAGAGTCTCATTTCTGAGCACCCTCTCCTCTCCTAAGGTTCGAGCTGCTTGGTGGGTCTGGAAATAATCCTACTCACAGAGTGAATATTAGCTCCCCGAAGGCCTCACCCTCGCCCTGTTTGCTTTAAAATTAACAAGGCTTTCCTAGTGAATTTCACCAGAGAGGAAGCTCCAGGGTCAGCCCTCTCAAGGAAACGTAAAATGTGTGTTTCAGAGCTGAGCCTGTGACAGTGACTCTTGGCAAGTGTGAAGCTAAGATGAGAATTTCCCTTTGGCCCTGAGACATTTTCAGATGCTTCTAGAAAATAGAAAAGAAAGGGCCAAACCCTCACTTCCCTCAGGGTTATTTTAGGATTTTTAATTGTGTTTCTCTTTGATCACATGCTGGAAAAAAAAAAAATGTGTGCAGACAGCCAAACTGGCCAGCTTCACAGAGAAAGGCTGGGTGATTCCCTCAGCACAGACGATGATGGTCCCTGAACACACACAGCTTTCCCCAACCCATGCTTTCACAGGAGATTAGATTGTACCAAATTTCAGTTATCTGCTGCTTCGGTGTGGCATTGAAGCTCTGTCCCTTCCTCCTTTTACCCTTACTATCTCCCCAGGAGGCTGTTAGTTGACTCTAAGGACATCCGTCCTCCCTCCTTCTCCTCTATCAGGATCTTGGGACTTGCACAAATAAAGGAGCATGCTGATCATGTTCTTGCCTTCCCTTTACCAGACGAATATGATGACAAGCAGCCATTGACCAGCAAAGAGGAGGAGGAGAGACGCATTGCAGAAATGGGGCGTCCCATCCTAGGCGAGCACACCAAGCTGGAGGTGATCATCGAAGAGTCTTACGAATTCAAGGTGCGTCTTCCAATACTTGTCCACTCCAGCAGCCTGCTCAAGGTGGTTTGGTGTGGTTTGTACTGTAAGAGTCTCCTAGAGAGAGTGGAAAATATGATTTTATACCCAGGCTCATTCACTAAAAGGCTGTCGAATCCCATTTGAAATTGTGGAGTTAGCAGAGAACCCAGAAATCCTGTATAGTAAAGAGAATTAACACAAGAGACAAGCAGGTGACACTTGACGTGACAGAGTCAGAATCGCTCCTAAAGGGAGGGCTTTGTCTGAAAAGGTTCTCTATAGAAGTAGGCTTGAAAAGATTTTTTTAAATAAAAATGTTATATTAAAATAAAGAAAAATATACAAAGGGTTTAGGATGGATGTGGAACATAGTATGATATAATGATAAATATATGTATATTTTTGAGACAGTGTCTTATTCTATAACTGTGGCTGACCAGGAACTTACTGTATAAACCATGCTGACCTCAAACCTAGAACTCTCAGAATCCTAAATGGATCTTTAGTAATAATTGCTACTTTCTCTTTTGTTGGTTAATTAAATTTAATTTCCAAATTGACATGCCTGAGGTGTCGTATGGGACTTTTTGAAAAGATAAAATGCATTTAAACCTTTTTTAGACCACTAAGAATCTAACTCTCTTTCTCTAGCGGTCATCTATCTATCATCTGTTTATCTGTCTATTTATCTATCTGTCTATCATCTATCACCTACCCATTTATCTGTCTACATATCTATTTATCTCTCTGTCATCTGTTTATCTAGCATCTATTGTCTATTTATCTGTCTATCTATCATCTACCTATCATCTGTCTGTCTGTCTGTCTGTCTGTCTGTCTATCATGCTTTTGCTTTCACTCCCTTGCTTAGAGGAAGGGTAAACAGTGAAACAAAGACTGACCCCACTGTCGGAGCCCACTGGGGCGAAACCTTGAGCCTGACTCATTGAAGATAAGAAGGGAACATGCACAGGTTCACGTAACCCCACAGCCTGTTGCTGTCTACGGCTCACTCTGCTGCTCTGTTTCCCTGTGCATCCGGTGTCACTGTTCCTCCTGCAACTTTCTTTCACCAAAAAAATCAAAGGGTCCAGTGTCATTTGCCACAACAGAGATTGCCATTCCTGGAGCTAATTCACTCCCAAACTTTTCATAGACAATGTGTACTCTCCCCTTTACAGGATGCCCAGCCTTGTCTTCCCATGCAATGGCCATAGAAAGAGTAATTATAGAAATTTCTTTAGAATATACTGGATTAGGTAACTCTTCCAAGCCAAAAAAAAAAAAAAAAAAAAAGTTTGATCTTGAGCAGACATTTCATGAGGAAGTCTGTATTCAGATGCTGGAGTGCTTATCTCTAGTATGGTGGGGTTCTCTGCCCTGGCTTCAGCACAGAGTGTTCTCTCCCTTTTGGAGAGTTATGCTCCAAGTTTCCACTACATGTAGGAAAAGCTGAGGTCATTTCTTCTCACATTCTGCACAGCACTCTGAACTGGCATTAGTCGAGATGCTTAGAGTACTGGATGAGATGTGGCTGAGTTGAGAGAGAAAAGACAGATGCCTGTCGTGGGCTTCAATTTATTGTGCCCAAGAGCGGAGTCTGTTATAGCTGTTATCAGGGCACCAGCAGTTCTGGATACGAGACAAGCTGGGAGGTCACTGCCCTTAGGACATACAAGCCACCAAGAATCATGTTGGAGATACAGAGCATGCTAGCTGGAGATGGCTCCTTTCATGTTTGTTTTCATCTCCATGTCTCAAGTCAGTTCCAATGACTGGTTTTGAACTAACATGCATGCTGTTATAAATTGGCTCTGGCTTCACATCCAACTCCCCAGATACCGTTCTCTTGAGTCCTGCTTAGCCAATAACATTATCTCTCTCAAATCATTGTTTGGTATCCTGCATTGAACATGTACAAATCTTTACCTAAGGCAAATAATGTGTGTTTTCTGCCTCTGCAATTAGTGGAAATTCGAGGATGCTCTGACAGTAAGTGTGGATGTTTGGTAGACTAGTTGGTGTAGTAGTTTCTCCGGGAAGAGTAGCCTCGGTGTCCTAGAAATGCCCCGTCTCCCTGTAGTTGCCATGATTTGTGATAGTGCTTAGACTGGATGGCTTCTTTAGTTTTCTTGTGACCGCTTGGCAAGTCCTGCTGTTTTATTAACCAAATTTAGAAAGTTGGAGAGTTCTAATTCCACAAAACTAATTGCCTAATAAGTTCCAAAGTAAAATAAGGGCATGCACCTCAGGGCTATTAAAGTATAGAAATGCTATGCAAAGTTATTATTAGCAGTGTGTCCTAAGCCACAAATGTTGACTTTCACTTCTCTAGTATGCTCCTGATGTAACAGAAGGAGTGTGAGAATAGAATTGCCTGATAATATTAGCTGAAAAATACGGTGGTTCCTCTGCACCACCGCCTTAACACCACCCCTGCGAAAGTTACCTATCTATTAATGATTCTACAGCAAGCCTCCTAGAAACATGTGCTACTTAGCTACATGTCACTGACAAACTGTACAGCAATACGTCTTCAGTTTCAGATCTGTCACTTCTAGATGTTCATAGATGGTGTTGAACAGGGCCAATATTGATTCATTTGCAGACAGCATGGACAGACTCGCCAGAGAGAATCAAGTTCCCATAGCAGCTGAGGAGCTTGGGTGGGCCTTTGAAGCCGCTGCCGGTGGGAACAATGTCACTGTTCCTGGTTGACTACTAGCCAGTAAAGGCTGCTTGAAGTTTCTGTTTCTGAATGTTTCTAAGGACAACTGTTTACATAGCCGTAGCAATATTTGATGTGCATACTTTTCTATTGAGCCTGACATCTGCTAGCCCTTATACAAAAAAGTCCTGGGACTTTGAAACAAGGATTTAGATTTCCTGGGGCCGTTACAACCCCAGAAGTTATCCTCTTACCCCTTTGCCCCTTTCAGAGCACGGTGGACAAACTCATTAAAAAGACGAACCTGGCCCTTGTTGTGGGGACCAACAGCTGGAGAGAGCAGTTTATCGAAGCCATCACCGTCAGCGCTGGTGAGTGCCTTGTTCTGTACTCTGTGTGGTGGAATGGCCAGTCTGAGGCCCAGTTTGCTTATTCTGCCACTGGCAAAGTATCACATGTGGCAAAATTAAGAGAAATCAGTGTATTTGTTGCCTGTATCCATTTCTCATTCTCTTGGGGTATGTGGGTAGACAAGACGAATTTAAACTCATTTGTGTCTTAATTCACTGTTTAACTAATCGTGGGGTTTTGTCTGGATCCCTGAGAGCAGCACACATTGGCCAAGTAAAGGTCAAAAGTGAGCAAAGCATGGGAAGAAGAGGAAGGCGTCGCAATGTCTTCACCAGCACTGTGCATCATGTTACACGCCCTTCCATGGCATCAAACACCCTAAGCATTCACTGTGACTCCGAGGTGCACACCAAAGCGCGCTGTGATTTTATTTCCTGCACAAGGAAAGTGCAAGGTTTTCTTTAAAAAATAGACTACAAAATAGTTCTGAGGACATGAAATAAAGAAAGCGTGTGCTCCCTGTGCTGTTTAGCCTGGTCCACTCTTGGTGTGTTTAAGGACGGAGTGAGTCACTGACACGCAGAGGAAGCAATGCTCCCTTACACTCTCATCTTCTTTTATCGGGTCTGTTACTACACTTACACTGTCCTTGCTCCCAAATCCCCACAGGCTTATCTCACCGCAGCCAGTCAACAAAGCTAGGGATGTCTGAGCAGTGAGTGATTCCCAAGCTGTAAAGTGTGGTAACAGCATCACTAGCCATCAGGCCATGGCTGTGCCGCAGCCTCCTTCTCCTTCCAGTCTGCAGCAGAACACTTGGACAGATCTCCCAAATGCTTTGGGAACAGAGAGTGGTTGAAAAGGAAAAGGTGTAGCTGTTTATTATTAGTGCTGGACGCCATCATGCTGTGGTTTCCTGCAGTCGAGTATGCAGTGGGAGCTTATGAGCATTAAATAGCCAGTGCTTGCTTAGGAAGGTGGATTTTAAATTTACGTGTCAGCTGTAGTATAAGGAGAGGGAAACAACCCTTGGTGGTTTATATTTTTCTATACATCTAAGATTAGCATCTGAAACAGGAGCATCCTTTCCTCTGCACGGGAGAACTGAGCTGATAAGAACACTGATGAAACTCATATAGGAAGTATTAGAACTGACCAAATTGGTATGGAGCTGTGCCCATTCAGACTGCACTGTAGTGAGACATTTCCAACAGATTCCAGGTCTTCTTTGGTTGCCTAGGGATGGGTAAGCATTCGTTGTAAAGACACTACTTACTATTCCTTTATCTGTCTGTGTGCACCATTGCTCTTGTGGGGGAGAATGGAATAGACAGCTCCTGCACAAATTCTAGTAGAGACACTTAATTTTCTAATATAGGAGAGCACGTAAGACATGTGACTGATTGGAAGCTTTAGACAGAGAACACAGAAGCTGTGAAAGGAGATATGGAACCAACATGGTTCCATCAGCAGTCCATTTGAGAGCAGATTTGCTTTCTCAGCAACAGAACTGTTTCATATTGGTCCCCCGACATGTTTTAGTCACTTTCGGAAACTGCTCTCAGTTAATGACACAGCTCAGTGCTTAACAGTAACAAGGATTACGCTACCAACAAGACCAAAGTCATGCATTTGATGCTCCAGCATGCAGAGAAATAGGCACCAAGATGTTGATGCCTCCTTCAGTAAAAGAGCTATAATCGAGGTTGTAGACACTGAAGAAATCCTTTCAGATTCCCACGCAGCACTTTCAGTTGTTGCTTAAGCGGTAGAGATAGAATAACCTGGTTGCTTCAGAGAAACAGCTTGGCTCTGAAAGATAGTCTGACTGATGGTGTGAGAGACTATGTGAGAGAGTGTAAGTGTGCCAGTCTCTGTGTGTGTGCGTGTGTGTGTTCTTGTGCATGTTGAGATGTATACACATGCACAATTGAAGGCCAAAGATCCATGTCTAATGTCTTTCTTAATCACCCTCCACTTTATTTTTGAAAACAGGGTGTCTCACTGAGCCTGGAGCTCACTGGGTCATCTGGGCTGTCTGCTTAGCAAACCCGAGGGGTGCTTCTGTCTCTGCTTCCCTGGCGCTGGCATTACAAGCACACACCACCATTCCCAGATTTTTATGTGGAAGCTGTGGCTTGAACCCAGATAATCACACTTGCCTGCTTAGCATGTTATACCTGAGCCATCTCCCCAGCCTTTATCTGGACCTGTGATCTGCTGAAAAGGACTCTGTGCTATTTACTGTCCTTAAGAGACAAAGAAGTTTCAGGGTAAGAAAAAATGCCACTGGACAGGCCTGTCACTTCTCCTAAGACTGTGATGGCATCATTTCATAAGCAGTCTTGGCTCCAGCCCTCTTTGTCATTCTAAAGATTGTATGCAGGGCCTTACATATGCTAGATAATACCAGTGAGTTACATCCATTGCCTTCCTTGCTTTAATTTTGAGGTAGTGTCTCAATAACTTGTCCACACCAGCCTTGAACTCACTCTGTAATCTGAAGCTTCACATCCTTCCAAGTCTATTTAAGATGTCAGATACCTCACCCAGCTCCAAATCTTTTGAAAATAGTTTATTGTAAATTAATAATGCATAAAGCCTCTCAAATATTATTGGTTTACATGTGTATATGTGCACATGTGTATTATTCGTGTGTGTGTGTGTGTGTGTGTGTGTGTGTGTGTGTATGTGAGTGTCTAAATGACTGCTTAGAGACAGACAATGCTTAGAAACTTGCCATTTCCTGGGTTAATTGACCTTACTTACAATTTTGAGATACAGAATATCTGAAAAATAAACACACAGTTTGTAGCACTAAATTACATTAAATTACATGAAAGACAGTTTTCAAAGTGCAATGTTTCAGATCATGACTGAGTTTAAGTGCCTAAGGAATGTTAATATTCTCGGGTTGTTAAACAGACAATAAAATTTGTAAAGCAGCATTTATTGAAGGCAGACTTTCATTGGATTTTTAAAGATTTCATGGCTACATAGTTGAGAATCAGAAAGATTTTCCTTATTAAAAATATTAAATTGGCTTTGAAGGGTTCTGCTGAGACCGTTCTTCCCAAGCAATTTTCTCTGCAAAATTGAATCTATGTGTCTTACTAAACAAAAGTAATAATTTTGTAAATGGGATTTGGCTTCTCTCTCATTTTTTTATTAACTATATCAAAACTCAATTTAAAGAAACCAGCCAGTAATGCTGTTCTCCACTTTGCCTGAGCTGTGCAGCTCAGTCCCTGGGCCTCCTATGGCCATAATGGTTCTGCTCACCAAGTTCTGGCAGTTGAGTATTTGAAGAGTTGAAGGACTTAAGAGACTATAGAGATTAGGAAGAGATTAAGCAGTCATGTTCCAGCAATTCTCCTTCTGTGGCTTCCTAGGTCAAATACCAGAATCAGTTGTGTGTGGCAGTTAAACAGCTGTCAAAACATTTCAAGCCTGGTGCCGCCAGGTGCCATTAGGATATGTCCACGCATGCATTACTCAATGCAGCTAGCACTTGCTACCTATCCAATTTGATTTTCCCCTCAGTTCTTCCTCCTTCCTTATGTCTCCCCCTGAGCAGCACTTTGGGGTAGACCTTAAGCACCAAGTGTCAGTCAAATATAGGGGAAGCAGCAAGAACAGTGTACAGGGCAAACCTGAGCTGGGTAAAGGCCATAAGGATGAGATGACATTTACACAGCCTCCAAGCTGTACTTGTCAGCCTCTCACTGAGGAAGGGGGAGTTGACAATAAGGCCAGCATGGAAGACAGATGAGGTTTGTGACTCTGCCCTGGGTGACTCAGCAGATCGTGGGACACATCCATGTCGGTTCAGTTGTGTGTTAAGTAGGAAGAAGTAGCTCATGAACTCACCATGGTATTAATTAAGACAATGCACATCTCCATGGACCAGCTATAAATTTAGGCACCAAAACTGGTTATCCGGGAAGTGACCAATATGTACTGAAGATTCTAAAATAAAAGATAGTAAAAATTGTAGTTCAACCTAGTACTACAATGCTGCTGAATAAAAACATATTGGTTGGACTTTTGGTTCTGTGGGAGTTTTGAGCATGTCATTTTATATATAAGAATACTGAGGTTCAGAATATATTGTAATTCATTCAAGAAGTGAACTGGGAAGGGACAGTATTGAAGTACAGGTCAGCTAAGGAGTATCTCTGTTGTGAAGTATGACTCACTGGTGGTACTTGAGGTCAGAGTGCATATACACATGCATATAAAATATACAAAAATATACATATACATGCACACAGAAACACACAAAACATGTATAAGCCTGACTGTGCAGACAATAAATACATACCCACAAACACACAAATAAACAAAAACCTACATACCAGTACATACAAGATATGTATTCATACACTGACATACAGACAGACACTGACACGCAGAGATGCAGACACACACAGACACAGACACACAGACATGCAGGCACATACTGACACAGAGTTGCAGGCACACCCTGACACAGACATGACGTGCAGATGCACACAGACACAGACATGCAGGCGCACACTGACACAGGCATGCAGGCATACACCGACACACTGTTGCATAACACCTGCATCCCATGATGCAGTGGTATTGGAACCACAGCTTGCACCATAAAGTATTTTTCATAATACTTGTTGTCTCTTTACAATCTAGTTCACAGTTCTCTAGTGCATGCTGCCTGATAATTTCTGATTTTTTTAAGGGCAACATGTAGCCTTTGTTTCACCTAATAACTTTTTAAAAAAGTAATGAGTTTTCTGAAAATCTTTTTGATATAATTGTTGTAGATCTTACATGGCACCTACTGGCATTTTCTTAATTAAAGGATAGACATACATACATACACAGAATGGGGGAGAGAGAAACAGAGACAGAGAGACAGAGAGAGAGAGAGAGAGGTGAAGGAGGGAGAGAAGGAGAGAGAAGAGGGAGAGGGAGGGAGGGAAAGAGGAAGGAAGAGAGAGAGAGAGAAAGAGAGAGAGAGAGAGAGAGAGAGAGAGAG